ATGATATTCTATATCAGAAGTTTTACCATTAGAGTCACAAGCTTGTGATCGGGCTTCTTGGAAACTGTTTGCTGAGAATGTTCACGATTAGCCCTCAAGGGGGTGAGCTTCCCTGGGTCCAGGGCAGGTTCATGGAGTGAGACCACTGCAGGAGCACAGGGCCCGGTGCTTGCGGCTCAATACTCTGCAGTTGCAGGGCGTTATTCTTTAATATTCGATAATTACAGGTCTATATTTTGTAAGTGAAGTCCAATGGGACAATGGAGCTTGGAGTCTTAGCTCACCTGCAGGTCTGCCCCGTGCCCCAACCCTGCCTGCCTAGGATGGATTCTTAACCACCTACTCTCTTCCCACTGGCACCCTGGGCCAAGACAGTCCTTCCCTCCAGGCCTCCACCTTGAGACCACTGTCACCATCACCCCAGGTTTCATCAGGGAATACCCACCCTTCTGCCCTCTACTCCCAGTGGGGGCCTGGCATGGATGTGAGTAGGCAAGACGTCCTAAAAGGTTGCAGCCTTGCCCAGTTCTGGGCTGGCAGGACCTAGTGTGTTGGTATGGTGACAGAAAAGGGGCTCTTGCTCACCCTGATCCAGGTCCCAAGTATGTCTCAGAGCAGAGGAATCCTTGTCCACCCAATATTGGCAGGCCCAAGGAAAGGGGAGGCCAACTTCACTGCCCCGGACTAAAGCCCACGTTCTCATTTTGCCCTAGGTCTGGCATGTTCTTTAGTCTTGCTGGGACTTCTCTTATTTCAGTGTGTACCTTTGGGGAATCACTTGCATTACAATCCTTGTTCATGTCGGTGAGGAGAGAGATGGCTTAGAGCCAACAGGCTTCCCGGTGTAAAGATCAGAACCACGAGCTCCTTCGAGGCCATTGGATAAACAAGGGGGCTGAAGAAATGAGCAGCAGCCGTGCACAGGTCCTGCCAGGAATTCCTGATCCTGCTTCTCTTCCTTCATGCCTCCTTCCACTGCTGATGGCCTGGAGCCCTTGCTCAGGTGCTGAGATCTCCATGCCTCTGTCAATGGCCCTAGGAGGATATGTTAATGACCAGAGCTGTGCAAGCACATACCAAATTACTGTTCTGCAAGCTCCTTCATCAAAATTACAAAAGCCACAAATGCTTTCTGGATGTCACAGGCAGATCTGATGATACACGTGTTCTAAGACCATAAAAAAGAATGTTCCAATCAAATGGTAAATCGTGCCTCTAGGATTTTTATATCTCCATTTAGAAGGGGAAGAATTATACTTTTTTTTTCCCCCAGACCGTTTTCTTAAAGCAGTGCTCATATGTCTAAAATATCTGGGGAGTCCTGAGGCAGGTACCCTGTGTCACAGTCCACACAACTGTGGACAAATTCGGGAAGAGGAGAGAGAAAGAGTTGAAAGAAATAGCATTTGTAGCTGTGATAATTCCCAGGCAGTTAAATGCTCTCCCCAGTACACCACTGCCCTTACCCCTTTTTGGGCTCAGATGGAAAAGACTATTTATAAAGAGAGAAAATATTGTCGGCATTTTCTTCAATCCCAACTGAAAAGAAAGAACCACAAGAACCATTTCTCTTGGGCAATTATTTTCTCTTTAGCCTTATAAGAAAACATGTGTATTGTCAAAAGAAATGAAATTATTAATGCATTTTAACCTCCATTACTACATATTAAGTATTATTTATTAAATTGCTAATAACTCATTAGCTAAAAGACATTTTGTAAAATCACTAATCCATTAAATTTTGGTAATTAAGTTGGATTTTAATGGTGGGAGAGAGAGAAGTAAGTATCTGATGGAAAATAATTTTAAGCAACAAAACAGCATCAGCCATGATGACATTATCCTTAGTGGCTGTTGGCTGTGTTTTGTTCCCATGTCAGGCGCATCATGACAATTTCCCTTAAAAACCAACAATAACAGTTCCTTCGCAATAAAAATGGTAACTTTATAAAGAGAAGAGAGCATGAAGCAGGGAATCAGCCCGAATGCATTAGGGGTTTACAAAGTGAGGTTTGCAGGCTAACATGCGGTCCAGTTATTTGATGTTGACTTGATAACCGCACAAATTGGAATTGCCACAATTTAATGAAAGTTCCCATGTGATACACAAGAAACATAAACCTAAGTGAATTATGCTGGAGAACAGAAGCAAATGTTAATAAAATACACAGGGAAAGGGGGAAAAAAGCCACTGATGTTTCTTAAAATGTGCTGTGTTCTTACCTGCAATTTCTTACCCTGAAACTGCCACTCCTGGCTGTATTCTGGGCCTCCTACCAGAGCCTGGCTTCCTGCAGGGAGTGTGTGTGCACCCAGCTATTTGAAGAGGCCCCCAGGGTCATGGTCTCATCAATCAGATGCCCATGCTGGACCCCATGGAGGAGAGAAAATATAGCATCTTTCTCCAAGAAATCCTGACTGTATGTGCTGCAATCATTTCCATTTACTAAAGGCCAGTCCCCACAGCATCAAGAAAAACAAAAAGCCTTTTCACCCATGATAAAGAAAAACAAATATGGAAGAATAACTTTTTTTTTTCCCATCAGACTATCCAGTGGGAATTAAAATACCATTATCTGGATACAAAAGACAAGCATTTAAAATACATAAGGACAGACATCAGCCTTGATGACATTATCCTTAGTGGCTGTTGGCTGTGTTTGAGTTGCTACTAAGACCGTGACCTTCAGCTCCCCAAACATTTATGATTCGTAATTACCGGATGGTATTAGTACTGATGGCTACATCACTTCCTCTCTCTCACAAACATTTGGAAACACTAAGGTGAGTTGAATCCTCGTCATTTGCTAGGTATTGCAGTATATCCATCGTACAGCTGTCCACTTAAAAACCTTGAACTTATACATAATGATATATATTAAAAATGACAAAAATTAACATTTTAGGTATTTTGGTTTATAAATGTGGCTTTAAATGAAAGCAGTAATTTATAGTCCTATGATTACCACTTTCAATGAATACAGACTGGTAAGCCAGTGATCAAAGAAGGATTTATAGTGCTTGATTTCTGCTCACACCAGTGTTAGACTTTAACCCCACCAGATATTCAATTCAGATATCTGATTTTATTATCCTGAGCTCTCCACTGGTAACCTTGCCTGTACTTTTAACCAAAGCTAGCAGAAGCATCTCTCGTCTGCTCAATTACTTATTAGTGTTGCTATAGAATACCATTTCCTCTTGAGGCTGATAAAATATTAATCAAAAACAGGAACTGAGCGATTTCCCAGTGTAGATGTCTTCTAATGGTAATACAGGGAGTCAAAGAGAGATCTGGAGGTCACATAATTGCTTCTGAAGAAGGCAGAGAGGTGTGACACCAGAGAAGGAGGAGAGACTGCAGGCAGAGCCCAGGAGCTGAGATAAGAACTTCCAGAAGTGTGAATGGAAGTGACTTGTGAGGAAAATCGAGGTCTAAGGAACACTCAAAGAATAAAGTTACTGTTCCTTTTTAACACAGACCAAGCTTTCCATTAACCAGAATGGTGTCTTGATAATCTTTTTTCCCCCACATTCTAACCCACATTTTTTTCAATGACTTTCAGATTTTCTGAACTTACTTCCTACCTTAATAAAGAGATTAGGACAAAAACGAATGAGTCTCAAATCAACTTCTGAACTTTAAAAAATGCCTTTTGTCTCTTCCCTTTTCCTCCACAGTCATGTGTATGAGGAAAGAGCGTGTGCTTTAGGTATAGACAGCTGTGGGTTTGCAGCAGAACCACCACTTACGACCAGGTGACTCACTGGAAAATCACTCTCTCACAACCTTAGCTTCTTGAAAATTTGCAAAACTTGTCATGAGTCTTAAATGCTCTCTTTTCCCATCTCCAGCACCCAAACTATAAAATTGAGACATGTCCCCCATTTTCTACAAGCTAAACCACACACACACACACACACACACACACACACACACACCAGTTTTTTAGGTCTAGAGTGAACTGCAGTTCCTTGAAGCTTTAATATGCTAAAAAAAAAAAAAAAAAAAAAAAAGTGTGTGGGATTTTTTTTTAAAGCATTGACTAAATACTACCTAATCCTTTAAGAACTACTCTTTTTAATACTAGCAAAATAAAAGCACACTTGTAAAGGCTGGCATCTTGATAATACCAATTAATTTAGAAATCGATATGATAATTCACATTCCTTTGATTGATGCCTATTACATATACTGGCACCCTTAATTCATGAGCCTGCATAAAATCCTTTTGACAAAAGTAAAATTCTGCCCATTTTTCAAAGGAGGAGGCCTAAATTGATTTGTCCGATTTTATGCAGCTGTATGATAGTAGCATTGTAATAGGAACTTGGGCCACACCTTTGAACTATCACTGCCTCTCCTACATCTCCCAATCCTGATACTCCCTGAAATAACCCTACCACCACCCATTATCCCATTTATAAAAAGCAGGGAAGATGCGCGAAATATCTCTTGAGGACTTGCCAAGCTTCAATGAGATCAAGAATTAAGTCATATAAGTAAGCTGTCAAAATTTTTAAATTGAAAATGTCGTTTTACCGCTGTGAAGTTAAACAGAATCAACTGGGTTCTCCTAAAGGACTAAGGAAGTGTGTTCCTGGAAGGGTTGTCAAGCATGCTCCTTCGTTTCGCCTGCAAGTCCAGGCCTTCACCCAGTTCTACTCCCCAACACCATCATTTATTTTGAACTCATTTGGTCCTGTTACTTGTTAATTCCATGGCAAAATTCAAACTCACAGCTCCCTTATCAGATTACAGGAGGACCCCTTCAACTTAGACATTCTGGGCTTGGGTAAAAAGGCAGTCCACACCACAGGAGTCCATGTACGATTCTGGGTGGGGAGGAGTGTTCACTCTGCTGCAGGGGCAGCCAATGCATGTACTCATGATGTTTTCCCACACATCCCATCCTTCTTAACAAACATTACCAAGAAACCAGGGCTCTCCTGGTGCCCCCACAAACCAGCCTGCCTCAGCTCTGTGTCCTTCTCCCTAGGACAATTCACACAGCAACTGTTCACTTGTGTTTGGCATCAAGATGACACTTATTGGCAATTTTTGTTCTACAAAAACACTACCAAAAGTAAGCTAACTCCTTTCTAATACTTGTGTGCAAAATACATGTGCACAACTGCTGGAGTACCCATCTGCTTCTTCATCCTCAAATACTGAAATGAAAAGTCACCCAGATATTAGAATCAATTAATACTGTGATACGCTGGTCAAATTGCTGCTCTTAATGTGTGTACACTTAATTACCATCCATCATTACATCTTAAAAAAATCACTCTAAGTTGAGGCTTTCAAGATTTTGGCTCTCTTCAGCACTATCCATTAGAATGATAAAAAATCCATTTTAAAAATTTAGCATCTGGCCCAGCAATTCCACACCTGGGAATCCAGCCCACAGAAATAAAAGCATCAGTCTAACAGAAGAACAAAGATGTGTATTGTATCACTATTTGAGGCCCAGGAGAGTGAAGGAAGAAACCTTTGGAAACGAAAGAAATGCCCCTCAATATGTTCAATTTGGGGAAATACTGCCTAAATCATGGGACGTCCACATCATGGGGTATTATGCTACCGCTGGATGAGAAAACAGAAGTATGGAACAGTATGCATAGCTTGATTCCATGTTTTATCAAGCAAAACTACCAAAAACAAAACATTTCAAAACTTCTATGTCTTCTGTGTTCATATCCATATGCAGTCTACATGTGAAATATGAGCACAAATGTCATCGTATGCTCAGTTAAATCATGAACAATGCTCTCCCCCATGGCCCTGCTAAGGGAAATTTTTCCTTAAAGCCAAGCCCCTAACAGGAAGCAGGCATGTTCAGCAAGACAGAAAGCTCTCTGAGGGTGGATATATGCTTATCTTTTCACCAGAAACCTTCTCGCTGACCAGTGGGTTGTATCCACTCCTCTGGAATATGATCTCCATGAAGGTGGAGACCTACCAGGCTACTGTCTCCCTAGAGCCTAGCACCATGCCTGGAACAGTTGGATTTCTGTAAATAAATCTTCACTGAGTTAATTCTAGGTGCTAGGAAACATGTTTTGCTAATGCTTAAATGATGAGCTTCCACTACATGAAAATGGGAGAGAGAAAAAATACCCCTAAGGGAACTGGATGTGTTTTGTATAAAGATAACATGAATGATCATAACAGCAAAAACAGCTCATATTAAATTCCTATTTAACAGGCACATACTATTCCCTTTATGTACACACTAGAGGCCCAGTGCACAAAATTTGTGCACTGGTAGAGTTCCTAGTGGTTGCTGGCTGCAGGCCTGGGCCTCCCTCTCTTCCCTCAGTTGGCTCCACCCTCTGGTCAAACTCCGGGATGACCTTCCAGTCAAGGGGACAATACTATACTTTTATTATATAGGATTGCATGTGAATCTCACAAGAATATTGGAAAGTACACATTACTTGTTCCCATGCAACTTCAGAAAACTGAAGCTCAAAGTGTTTAATTACCTGGTTCAAGGGCATACAGTGAACAAGAAAGGCACCAGAATTCAAACTCAGGACCCTTCCTTCCCTTTTCACTGGGCCTCTGTGCTCTGCACACATATGTTCAATCACTCGTGAACACTACATAATAAGGTATCCTACTCACTTATTTTAAAGTTGGGTATGAAGAATAAGAAAACAACTTAAAGGCTGGATAGCACTATTGTTGGTCCAGAGTAAAGGAAACCCAAAGCCCAAAGTTAAGAGGTTTCAACATGTGACTTGTGTTTGATTTTTTAACACCTGTCCAGACAGGTACTCAATGCAACCTCACACTTCAACAGATAGGACTCGCCCAGAGTGCTGAGAAACTTGGCAGATGTGTTCATGTAGCGGGATATTCCCATTTCTGCCCCCCTTAGAACCATAGAATGGCAGTTACAGAATCCAAATCAATTTGTATCCCCCATTGAATCTCACATAATTCAGCAGACATTCATTACGATGCCATAATGATATCACACTGCCATAAATACATATGCTAGGAGTAGAACAAGATATTCATATTTAAACATAGCGGGAAATAATTTTAGTTCTGGTGATTTTCTATTGCTCATTCTATTACTTTTCTCTGGATGCTGAAAATGTTAACATAGGAAACCAAGAATTACAAGAATAAAGAATAAAAGAGAGAAAGAGAGAGAGAGAGAGATAGAAAGAAGTGGGGGGAGAATGCTTCTGGTTTAACAAGAAAAGAAACTTGGGTGTCAAGTTACATCTGATAAATATTTTGTTTGAGGAAAAGGTAATTTAATAATAGATGAGAAGTTCCTTGATATGTCAATTTGAGAAGACTCATTCACACAGCCATAAACACAATGCGAGATTTTAGTATTTTGAGATATCTGCTGCATATTTAAAAGATGATTGCCCTGGTTCCACAAATAAGAAACGCAGATGTTAAGGCTTTTTCATAAAACTTTTTTAAAAATATGTAAAGCAAACAAGTAATACAGGTAAAATTAAAACCACTTTAGATTTACTGTTCCTACAGATGAGGGGAAATGATTTCTCAGGAATCAGACCCCTGACTCCAGGAAGGAGCAAACAGATAGCACCGATAACATAACACCAACAACGACAATGTTAATCTTGATCTCGCTCTTACATATCTCAACACAGACAGAGTAACAGTTTGTCTTCAGCCTCGATGATGTATCCATTAACAGCTCTCTTCTCCTCGTATTCAGACAACTTGCAACGGATTTTTGAATTATTTAAATGGAAGTAGCATTAGAAAACCCTCATGTTTAAATTATGCTAAATAAGTATCCTTTCAGCTGAACTTTTGCCTGTGTAAAAAAAAAATACATATTCTGCAGGCATGTAGGAAGGGCTCAGAGGAATATAAGGAGATGGTACATGTGCAAATGGAAAATGAAGTCTGGGGAACAGTGTACAATCAAATGAGGGGTGCAGGACACTGTAAGTACCCAGACATTCCGGAGGGAATTTGAGTCTGTATATTTACAGAGATGATGTCAATATCCTAAAATGCTTCCAAATGTCCATAAAGCTCTGAACATAAGAATTTAAAAATGTATGGATGTCCAGTTGCCATAAATCAGGGAATATCCATATCATGGAATATTATGCAGCTATTAGGAGAAATGAGTTTGCTGTTATCTATTGACCTGGGGGGATGTCCATGATGTATTGGTAAGGGAAATGAGCAAGGGAGGGGCAGTGCACAGTGCATAAACAGGGCAGGATTCTTGTAAAAGAAAACAGAAAGGCCTCCCTATGTTTGCCACCCATGTCACTTGATGGACAAAAGAGCCTGGAGAATGGTTTGAAGGGCTCCTGGTGGGCTGTCAGCTGTGATCAGTGGGCAGAGGGTATTACTGGGGGATTGCAGAAAAAAAAAGGGTAAGTCAGGAACATGGTTTCTTGACATACCTTTGCATGGGGTTCACTCTGTGTTGAACACATTCTATTATTTAATTTGTGAGAATTTTTTAATAAAAGGAAGTGGAGGAGAGGCAGAAAAGCAGAATGCCAAAGGACAGAGAAAGAATAAGGTAGAGGGAGAGGAGGAGAGAGGAAAAAGAAAGAAGGAGAAGGAGAGAGAGATAAAATGCTAACAAAGCCAAAAATTCCTGCTGGCCAAAGATGGTTCACTATCAGGATGCTTTATACCTTGCAGGAATGCCAAGATTGAAGAGTTTTCTTTTTTTCTTCTTGTTTTGTTCCCTGCTGCCCCCTAAAGTGAATGTGCTGATTTATTTGGAAGAGGAACTCTTTGCCCTTTGCAAAGCCACCTTTACAGAAGAACTGTTGCTGAAGAGCTGAGCATGCAGGCTTGGTGCAGTGTGGAACCTGGCAGGTGCAAAGGCAGGTGCAGAAGGGAGCTGAGGTGGGTCAGGGTGGCGATGGGGAGAAAGCATGATGTGATCAAGCTGGTGGAAGTTTTCCATCCCACCTAGGCACTGCGGGATCTGGTTAGACTGGGCATGTGGAGCCTGCATGGTGCTGTCAGTGCTCTCTCCAGGAAGTCCACAGGTAATGGGCAAGTCATCTATCCCTCCCTCAGGGCACTTCAGGGAAATGAATAATCACTAGGCCAAACAAATAACTAGGTAAGTAAAAATAAGAAGAGCTGGTATTTAATCTCTGCGTTGCTTTCAAATGCAAATATATTTCATTTTACTCATATTTTATTGTGCTCTACTATGTGCAGGGCCTTTTCCTGATATAATAAAAAGTATATCTTAAACTTGAACATATAAGTTGAGGGCTTTTTTTCTGATTATAGAAAGGTGACAAATTCATTTTTAAAAAATGCTCAACTATAGGAAATTCTTTTTTAAAATGATAAAATTGCCTATAATTCCCAAAATACAGATACGGCCATCTTGTTATAGGCTATATTCCCAGCACCAGTACAGTAAGTGGCATAAAATCGATCTCTCATCAATATTTGTTGAGAGAAAGGAGGGAGGCAAAGAAGTTATGGTAATATCATTTATGTAAATCCATTTTCTATGCCTACATTTTTATATAACAATATAAAGCACCCTATACACGGTTTTTTAAATGACTCATCCCAATCCTATCTAATAAAGATAGAATATGCAAATTGACCATCACCCCACAACAAAGACAGCAGTGCCTACAGCCAATAAGGAGGGAATATGTAAATTGACAAGATAAAGATGGTAGTAGCCAGACTGGGAAGCTTGCATTGTCACCATGGCGACAATGCAGGAGTTCTGCCCTGCCCCAGCTGCTACAGGCCTCTGGGCAGCATGCCTGCTATTGGGGGGGTGGGGGCACACACAGAGGGTGGAAGGAGTTACAGGAGGGCAGCAGGGCTAGAGCAAAGGGTGGCAGCCAGAGCAAAGACCCGGGTCCCAGGTGCCGGAGGAAAGCCGGTGTGCGCAGCCAAGGGAAGAAAAGCCTATTCTTGCACAAATCTTCATGCATCGGGCCTCTAATTAATATATAACAAGCCTTTAGACAACATTAAATACATTGGCAAACCCTGGCTATCTGGGGCTGGTATGTGTGATGTTGGGCAAAGAGTTGTCAGCACTGCCCCGAGGACCCAGAGGGAGCTGATAATGATCTCTACATCTACAAG